CGCGTGTGTGTTGTGTACCCTACAACTTTGCCCGACTCTGTTCCAATACACCACATAGACATTGTTAGTTACAATTTCTCAGGACATGAAGAGGTATTTTAAAATGTCTCCATACGGATAATATTTAATATTTGTATGAAAGAAGTGGGCGTTATTTATTAAAAAAAAGTCTTATAACTTTATAAACAATTAATATCATGTCGAGTTCCTCGGTTGAACAAATGAACATTTATTAATTCGACCCTTAATTTAATTTGATATGAATGAATGGAAAAATAACTGGTCAGATGACTGAAAATAGTATATTTATGGTTTGTATCTCAAATTACGTATTTTACTAGTTGAACTTTTTCGAGCTGATAATGAGTTATAAAAATATGAACACATCAAGCGAAGCATATTAAAAAACTAATTTTAAAATCCAGCGAGACACGACATAGTGCTTTAATTATTTAGTTGTAAAAGGGAGAATCAAAACAGGAATATTTAAGTATTAATGCATGTATGAAACTCTTAATTATTTCCCATGTACCCCTATTTTTCAATTAGAATATTCATCAGGAACAAAGGTTTACAAATATACAAGGAAAAATGAGTCTAGCATTTATGTTTATCAATCCTTCTTCAAGTATTTTATCGATGATCTTATCTTAAACACGATAAATCTCAAGTGTTAGTTTCCAATACAAATTAACAAGCATTTAATTTTATTTTGTGAAATAGATACTGAAAGTTCTATTCCATGAGTATGGCGCAATATTGCGCACCATCGATTTTAGTTCACAACTGCACAAAAATTGTTTTAACTTCAAACCGCACTTGCTTTTCTTCCTCGCTTCATTAAGGACTCATTATTTTGGCGTAATACATAATGAAGGTTGCAAAAATCATTTAGCATGATTGTGAAATGTAGAATTATGCGTAGGAGAATGAACAATATAAAATAGTCTTATCAAATTTCATACAAGGTAAAATTATTATTTGACTGTTTTCAAACATTTTAGGCATTCAAATACTCAGAAATTTGTACCACAGTATTATTATTTTGCATAAAATGTCGGAAATCGCGGAACTTCAAAGATTTGTGACTCGCACTTAGACAACTAACATCTTTCCTCAACAAAAGTTATCAGAGCGCTGAAGGTGGAAGAAGCCGTACAATGATCAACAGACATCAACACATGCTCATACAAATCTGCAAGGTTTGAAGATATACACATGGTCACCAAATTCGTTGTAGTCTATTTGTTGATTTAAAAAGTTATGTTTTTCATTTCAACTTTTTACTTGCTCGAATACGTACATATATATACGCAGTAATTTACGTACAGCAGTATCGAGAAAGTTATGTAATGCTGCGCGAAAAAACGGCGGATTTTCGGCAGATAAAAATTAAATGCTGAACTCTGATCATGAAAACAAGAATAAATCCAGTTTCTAAGTTAATAAAAATATCCTCTAACACGTGGTGTAGCCAGAATTCCTGTTTTGTGGGACCATACGGAAAAATCGATTGACGGCAAAACGTCCGTCCGTCCGTCCGTCCATCCTTCTCTTGTATGTGAAGAACAGCCCCCAAACTAGGCGTACGATTTTTTCCAAACTGAATAAACCCTTGTCGATTTGGCATAAGTCAAAGCTCTGCAATTTTGAGAAACTTTTTTTCTTTTTGTACTTTACATAGAGCCCCACGGACATTTTCAAAATTTTCTCAAAAAAGGCTCCAAATTTTTTCATTAAATTTCTTGTAAGAATAGAGTAACATGCGCTTATTAACGTAGCATATCCTGATTTTCACGGTTAACTCTAAATTTTCTAAAATTTCAAAAGTATGAATTGGTTTCGGTGTCTTCCTACAACTAGAAAATTAAAGATAGAGATTTTTTTTCTTGAAATACAATTTGTTCTCCATAGTGAGTTCTTTCATTAGGGTCATGTATTTTTTTAAAATTTCTACTATTTGTCGCGCAATATTGCGTGCACCAGATGCAATTTTTTTTATTAAAAAAAACAATATTTTTTTTAAAATAGCTCCTACTTTTTTCTTTAAACTTTTGGCAGTGATAGCGCTAAATATACTCTACAAGATGACATATACGCCTATACTGCTCTATTCTTTTGTTTTTAAAAAATATTAATAAATGTAATTTTTTTACGTTCCCTCTAAATAATGTCATATTTAGGCCAGTTAGTTTTACGTCAGTACTTTGTAAAGTTTGAAAAAATTGTATTTAATTCGATTAGAAATCATTTGGATCAGACAGAATGATTTTTTCATAGACAGCGTGTCTTTAGAAACGTCTTTTCGTGTGAAAATATGATTATTTCCTTTACTCAAGACCTGTCTGTAGTAGTACATTTAGGGGTAGGAGCGAACACAAAAGTTATTGATTTTGTTAAAGCGTGCCGCATGACTAACTCATACTGAAACTCGTCGATGCTAAAATTGACGGGCGGGTAATAGCGTGGGTAAGTGAATTTCTCCGCGATAGAATTCAATCAGACCGAATTGGACTGCATTTATCTGTTATAAACTGTTGGTAGGGATAGAGCTAAATGTACGCTATGAGACGACATAAACACCATTCAGCTCTATTCTTTTGTTTTTTCAAAACTTACAATTTTTTTACTAGCCTCTCACGTTGTCATTATTTACATTAGCGGCTATTTCTTTATACTATTCCAGTAGTGAGTACTTATTCTTTAAATAATTTTTTTATAAAGTTTCTGGAATACTCAGAACTTTTCTGTGAAAACAAGCACAAATTTCCGCATCTTTGGAAACTTCAAACGCCATTTTCTCAAAACAAAAACAGCTCCCAACTCAATATTCAAACTTTTGGAATAGATAGTGCTAATTGCACTGTTTGAGATGACAAAATAATTTTGCTGCATTCTTTTGTTTTTTCACAAAGTACACAAATGTATTTGTTTAACCTCACTCCGTTAATACCATCCGTAATACCAACCATCCTCTCACTCCGTCCACATTTCCAGCAATTTGTATTCATTATTGCACTTGTGAGTGGATGTGCTTCAAATGACTATAAATTAATTTTATCGAAAACAAACTATTTCTGTGAAAAGCAGCTTCAATTTTCGCATTTGCAGATAATACAAAAGTAATACGACTGGGTCTGTGCCATTCTGGAGCAACACTAGTTCCTTTTTCACTGATGACTTGCACACTGATTGAAGAATTTCTCTCTATCCTAAATAATCAAAAATAACTGCAATGCAAATTTCAGATTGACAATTGTAATAAGTCGTAAGACGCAATTTAGAGATTTTTCGAGTTGATCACACCATAATGTTCTCTGTGCAAACGTCTTTCCATTCAGTATCTAATGTTTCCATTTTCTTGTCAGGTTGTTGCCACGTTATCTTTAATATCTGATCAGGGATCATGCACGATCCGTCTTACTCCATGCGGTACCCACTTCTAACCCTAGGAACTGAGAATGACCAGCTCTTCCATCCCCGCGTGTGTCATCTCCCATCGACGTATTTGACCCAAGTCCCATTGATCTCTTAAACTGCGGGCTCTGACGGGCGTATGGGAATCCCGCAACAACAATAAATAATACAATACTACAAATTATAATTATTCAGTTCATTTGCTTCATCACCTAACAACATAAATACCCGTTTTAAAAACCCATGATATGAGCTTTTAAATTCAAGATGAAACACGTTAAAGCGCGATTTGTCGTAATTTCCTAGTCGATCGTCCTGCGAAAATCTATGCTAGAAGAAGGCATTAACTTTCCAGATTTCAATTTCAAGACTTACACTGCATTTATTTTGCTGCTTGAACCTTAGAAAGAACTAGTGGTGCAATAGTACGGCACAGACTTTGTCGTGCAATTTTCTTTCTTATCCATTTACTCTGTGCTAGCTTTTCAGTTCAATCTATTGTCACTGGAAGGAGGTTTTTTTTCACATTTTCTTGTTGTTTTCGCTCCATAAAGGTAGAAATGAAATATGACTAAGAATTCAATAATAGAGCTGGTCCAATATGCAAATTATTGAAGAAACTTTTGGAGCCGTTTCTGAGAAAGTCGAATAAGCATTCCTGAAAACTGGCATTTCGATGTCCTTTTCACAGAAAACTTATGAATTTTCAAGAAACTTCATTGGAAATAATTCGAAGCATTTTACTCACAAATGCAATAATATACAATTAACATCCGTAATATAAATACGAGTATAAACAAAGCGAGAGATATTTACAAACATTGGATGTGTGTAATTTAAAAAAAAGAATACAACAAAGTAGCATTGAAAATATGTTATTCAGTGCATTTAGTACTATCCAAACAAAAAGAGCGAATGAAAAATGTCAAGCCGTTTTTGAGAAAATGTTCGAGCGTTTCTGGAAAAGCTCAATGTTGAGTGCATTTTCACAGAAAAGTTTTGAGTTTTCGAGAAACTTCATCCGACTTTATTTGAAGAACTTAAACACACATACGCAATAACATGTTTAAATCGTCGGTAATGTAAAAATTAACAACGTGAGAGAGATATCAAAACTACAGGGGCTAAAACAGCACATACTTTCTCGCATTAATTATAACGGGTTCGCAATATTATACAATTACATGAACCTAAGAAAGTGTTTTCAAACAGCAAAATGTTTTTGTTTGTTTTTTCCGCAAGCCACACAGCCATTCTGACGTAGTCTCATGGATCAGCGCATAAGATTCTTTCATAACTCTTTCTTCCATTATTTCTAACATGCAATTACCGAAAATTCAGGGAATAGAACGAAAATGAGACTGCATCATTCTTTTAAGTTCCATGTTTTATCACCGAGAAAAAAATGAAGAAAACATTTGGAGGTCTTTGAAATTTTTTTTTATAAATTGCATTAATTTCAAGCACAAATTACGAGAAAAATACTCATGTTTTCAAAAATTTGTACTGGAATTTATTTAAGGGTTGATTATTTAAAACACATTCTGTTTAAAGAAAATAGTCTGCCCTCAATGCCGTAGTTATAAAATGTTCTTGCAATTTTCTAAAATACAGAGTTAAATCTATTTTTCGGTACCAATGGATTCTGACTTCATAACATTTTGGCGAAGGAATTTACAATATATTTAGTAACAAGATTCATCCAATTTTTTTGTTTCCGACTGAAAACGAAAACTTTCGGTAGAAACATTCATTGCCAGGCCATGACAATTTTTCAAACATTCTTTCAAAAATTTGGCGTTTTCTGGCGTACGATTACAAATCTTTCTATTCTCACAAAGAAGGGCGAGGAAGGAAAACGTGAAACCAAAGGAAATTTTGAAAATGACCCAGGGGCCTCTTACACTACCCCAAACATTTAAAGAATGTTTTTCAAGATTGCAAGGCTTTGTGTCGGTCCAGATCAACACGGTAATATATATTTTGGAAAATAATCCTACTAATAGTTTAGGCTCTACGGAGACACTCAGAGACGGACGAATTTTTTGAAAGAAACACTATTTTGGTGTCAGAAGACCCCAAAAGGTGTATTTCCGTGGTAACCTCGAAATCGATATTCCGCAGCATTACATAACTTTCTCATTAATATGTATGTTGCTCTGCATATATGTACGTATACGAGAAACTTAACAAATATTGAAGAAACGGTGAGAGAAAGCCTCGATTCATTTCTCTCTCAAATAATTGTCCAACTTTCAATTTTTTTCTATAGAACCTACACAATATAAACTTTACTTTCGGGATGAAATTTGCTACGTACAATTGTCTCTTTTTGACAATTTAGAGACCCCATCGGCACAAAATCCTGTGTGCTACTACTGTGAATACAATAACTGCAATCAATAGATTTAAGACTAGTATACGTTTATAGAATATGGCATTTAAAACAGATTACTCCAACACTTATTATAATAGTCTAACTCGGAAACGACGTGTTTTAGGCTCTTAAAACCAAGATTTCGAGTCCTGAGAGGCACATGAATTTATTGTGAACAGATGAAACCTGTGGGTACACGAGTTGTGTCGCTTACTGTGGTCTAAGGTAACTATGATTGCTCTAAAAATAACTTTTTCACTCTCAATCGCCTCCACGTTCCGAGAACAGTACCTGCAAGAAACGCCCTGCGTAAACGCATTGCGGTAGAGACGCAGTCACTGTTCCAGCTGCGAGGAAACGTCAGCGGTGCGGTGGCTATGACGACTTACTCCAGTCTGCCCCGATAACGCAGGCTGGCTTTTGTGGCTGATAACACATACTGCAAAGCGAGCTCATATCTTGATGGAGATCCTGATAGCGCTGATCAAGCATGGTGTGTTATCCGCATGTCAAGCCGTTTTGACAATATCGGTTTTCATCTCAAGACAATAATACTTAAATGACTGACGGTGTGCTTGTCGCTGTTAAGAATTTGAACGATCTAAAGCGGCCGAACAGAAGCGGTTTCAACTCAGAAGAAGCTCTCAGAACTTTTTTGTTTTGCGTTTCTTACTATACATTAATTATTTATTGTAAAAGTAATTGACATTTTACCGGATGCGTTAGCGAATGTAATTTGAATGCGCCTCAAGCTTCGCAGAACGAGGTAGATTTTTGTGAATATTTCGACGCACGTCTGTAGCTGGGTCGAATGACGCCACTACCCTGCCGGGGTGAGAATTCTGGCGTTATCCCTTTAAAGTGCCTTCCTTGGCGAATCAACTTCAGCCGCGCCGCGAAATCGGAGAACGATGGCGATGAACGACAACGATGACAAACACTTGCGGGAACGAGGACAATCCCGCTCCGTAGTCTGAATGTGCATAGTGTAACTTCGTGTCAGTGGACTTTTATAATTTCGTGCGTATGATCGAAGTTTGTTTCAGTTTCATACGGGTCCAAGAACACAATACTGTACACAAAGAAATATATATTAATGATCATACCCGCTGAGGTCAACGAGAATCCAGCTTTGCTGCTGTGTCTGCAACGACTCTGACCGGAATGTCCTAGGATTCGCGTCCTGGTGGAGGCGAATCTTCGACATTAGCTCAACACATTTCTTTTTATAAATATTTAGTTTAGACTAACATCTCTGCCCTTTTTTTTCTTCTCTTCATTTGCGACTCAAGTGAAAAGATTCGTTCACACAATGCAGATGAAGATGGTCTGAGCGTCTTTTTTTCTATCATGCATGCGGGTGTCAGCGTTCAAACAAAAAATTATTCATGTTCTCAATTCTAAATTAAACAATAAACGATACAACGTAGCAGATGTTAGTCATGTAATAAAATAAATAAAAAGTTAAATATTTACTAAAAGGAGGACATTTAAGATACAAAGGAGGACGAGGCGACAAATAACGTCAATGGAGAACTGTTCACCCAAATGGAGGACAGTTGGCAACCCTAATTACATGATACCATTTTGCTCGGGTTTGTTTGGGGTTTGCCGTTAGTGCTGTCATCGGTTTGACTGATGTTTTGATTAACTGATGCTTCCGGGCACGTCAATAGCTATGGTCATTAGTAGAGACCGGAAAAATATGTAGAATGAAATGTCAAAATATGTTCATAAATATGTAATGAAAACAGTGAGAATATAAAAGAAATATGTAAATTCGGATATATATATATATATATATATATATATATATATATATATATATATATATTCATACGCTAATTATAAAACACATTTACCTCATACAAAATTACATTTATCAAATATTTCCTAAACATTTTTTTTAATACAAATGTTTTAAAAATTGTTGGGAGAGCACAAGTTGATGCACATTTTGTGCAATACCACGTTCTCGTCAGTAATAAAACCTACATCTATTGCTATCCAGGACCGAAGTTTAGGAGCCAGACTAGACGCAATAGAAGTATCATACAAACTGGCGGTATCTACGACCAGCAAACCATCACTCCGGCGTGCAGCATTCTCATCGAAGTGTTTACACATTGGGGATCGCCAAAGTTTCTCGGAAATTAAGATTAAAGATCACGAAAGCCGGCGTCAGTGATAAGTGTCACTCATAAAGGTGAAAATGATATCAAGTCGCTGACGTGCACTTCCCGCCACTGAGATAACTGAAGCAGGCGCGCCTGACGGTAAAAATACCTAGCCACGTCTTGAAGCGCATCCCCATTTGACAGAATTGAGTAATTATGCAGAAAAATTCTGATATTTTGAAAATATATCTTTTCATAAAAAAATATATAACACAGAAGAAAATTGATATTTTTTTTTCAAAAATGTGAGAAATAGAAACATGTGTAAAATATGTAATATAGTACTAAATATGTAAGTAGTGGTGCAACAATTAGCACAACCGTGTCAGTTTTCTATTTCCTTTGGTCTCGGCTAGCTATTCGGACTTGCCACATACTCTTGCCAGCTGCCATCTATTGCCGCCCAAAGTTCATTTTCAAAAAAATTCTAAATTTTTCGGTTTCCTAATTGTAGAGCGAAAATTTTATTTTAAGATTATTAAAGAACAGTGATACCTAGTTCTAAATGTCAATTTTCTTTGAAAACTTTGGAGCTATTTTTCTAAAACTGGAG